GGGCTACTCAATCCCTGCTTCAACCACCAGGATCTAAATCCAGATGATGATACCTGAAGTCCCAGGCAGGGAAGGGACAAAGAGCATTAGCACCCAAACAAAAACTCAGTCATTAGTGTCTGCTGTTGTTTTCCCACCCAGTTATCTTGCCTGTGCCTCCCTGTCCAAGTCCTCCACCACCACACCTACCCTGTGAAAAATGTCAGTGTTTGGGGGCATATTTACTTAGCCATCTACTCACTGGCTCTGGGATTCTGTTTTGTTAGATCCTGTCGTCACCACCAGGCTGGAAGCCAATGTTTGTACTGGGTGGGAGTTAGAAGGAGGCATAAACAGAATCAACCCTCTTGTGCTTTAAAAAATCAGGCTAGAATTATATACATATTTCATGTCAGAAAAATAAAATGTGTCTTGGCAGTGGATGGGAAGTTGGAGCGCTTGGAGGGGGAGTGGAGAATTGGCAGAATTGCTCCCCTTTTCCTTGGCCCCCCGCCTGACAATCATTCAACTCTTTGCTCTTGGAGTCAGCTCCTTCCCCCTCTCTGAGGCCTTCCAAGTGCTACAACTTCCTTGCTGTCATCCCGCACATGTTGTCAGAACCCAGAATGGCTTCAAAAGGAAGAGCACTTTTACAAAATGGTGTTCATTCCCTGAATTGCTTAAGTCTGGCTTCAAGTCACTGGAGTGAATCTCCTTAACTTTGATTTGAGGAAAAAGCAATGTTCATACGGCAAGACCAATTCACAGGAGGATTAGACGAGCTAAAGGAGAACATATTTAGGAATTTACCTCTTCGGAAATGGAAATCCCATTTCTCAGATTTGTAAAGCACTAACATTGTTATCGCCTAAAAAATATTTTGCTAGGTTTCTCTAAACTCAGTTGTTTCCCTCTGGCTTGAGTGGTTCTGTTTCTCTAACTCCTGGTGTCATCTGTGAACACTCAGAGTTGCAGTCTCTTTTGAATTGTTATCTGTACAAAATGGGGCCCTTCCCCTAGTCCTTGAGATGCACACTTTCACTAACCAGCTCCCAATGCTTCCATTGAGTTCCCAAGAAGGGCCTCTCCATTGTATCCTGTGTTCTCCCTCAAATTCCCCAGGAAGTGCTGTTCCTCATCAGGGTCTTGGAAACCCTGGAGACTTCTGGTGATGGGGCTATTTGTGTTCGTGAGACCCTTAGATACAGGTTCTAGAAGGCAGAGATGAATTTTCATAGGCCTGCATGGCAGCTTCCAGGCCACTGCTTTCCCACCCTCCCTGAGAAAACTCCTCATTTGAGACTCAGGTCACTAGCATGCTCTCATCTGTGTGTCTGCCATCTGCCAGCCTCTGTATAGGTCATCCCCTCATATTTAGCACCTGTTTCGTAATGTGGCAGAACATCTTACTCTCCATCTTAAATTCTAAAATGCAGTGGTGACTTCAACCACAATCTTAGAACCTCGCTAATTTGAATGGACCATCCTCCCCACTAAACAGTTCCCTATAAGCCAGACCCTGGATTCTTCATCTCATAAAGCATTCTAACCCCCACTAATATATCATCTTTGGAACCCCACCCTTCTAGCTTTGTTTAAACAGTGCAACAATATAGTTTAGTAGAGAAAGATATCATTCAAATCCAGGTGGCATATGCAGATATCAAAATGGAAACAAATACTATAGTTAGCCCCAAACAAAAGGTTTTGTTTGGAAAGAAGGAAAAGCAGTGGGAGGGAGCGGGGGAAGGAAAAAATAACGTGAGTGTTGATGACCTTTCCTCCTGCAATAAATGTCTACCCCTTTGTATTGGGGAACAAATTTAATACTTACTAGCAAATAAATTAGACTCAACTCATTTCTTTATCATTTCTGCTATGTCTCCATAGACTTGCAAGAAGGGATAAAACTGAAATCTTCCTATGTCATGACTTCTTGGGTTGTTTGTGGTAAAGAACTCGCCTTGCTCCACAGGGCCAGTGACTGGTCTTCCCAGCCCCAGTCCCACGGACAATCCACCAAAGGAAACCGAAGGTCAAGTGCTCCATCCCATTAAAAATGTGTGTGCACTGTTCCAGACCGCTACACTTTCCTTTTGACATGACTAAAATAGGAGGCTGGGAAGCTTGCCTTATCTAGAGTTGAGTCCCAGATCTTGGCATTGTCCAAAGCAATCCAGGAATTCAAGTTACACTAATGTAATCTTCCTTCCTGAGCCAAAAAAAACTTTTGATGAATCTTCTACACTTACTTTGTAGGCCATACATTCTCCCCCAAATGTGAGTGTTGATGAACTGGAATCGACTAATTTCCGAGAATTTTCAGGGCAAGGGAATAGCCCAAACACTTCTGAATGTTGCTGACTTTTTGTTGAATGGCTAAGCCTCCCTCAGCTCTGTGTTGTCAGCAGAATTAACCAGTCTATATCATTTTTTATAGATTGTGAACAGGGAGGACCTCCAGCCTGACCCCCGCCGGGCCCCAGTAAATCTCGCAGCGCACAGTTAGAGACACTCTTCTAGGCTTTGTTTTCCTACCAGTCCATCATCTCCTCCCATGCACTTTGGAAACTAGCAGAACTTCTTTTCATCTGAGGTTCACAGGAGGACTTTTGTAAACATCTGCTGAAGATCCAAATAGGTTATGAAGCGGGATCCCGTTTGTCATGTGACCTCCAGCCGCCAGGAACATCTTACTATGTTCAAACAGGGTTGTTTCCTTGCTTGAAAGACTCTGCATTTCCTGCATGTGCCCAGTAGCACCTTCCTTTCGCACACTCACCCTATGGGATTGCTTCCTCTGGATGACTCCTTTCTACTTAAAGTGCCAACACTTCACTTCTTCCTTTATTCCAGTTTGTAATGAAGTCTTTCAAAGTGGGAAGGAATTAACGCAATCGCAGGCCCTACCTCCATTTATTTGAAGATTACTTCATCTTTTTATCAGCTGGGTTTAGAGGCTCTTGGAATATTAACTTGGAAATCTCTTGAGATCTTTATTCTTAAAATGGTCTATTCCCAGGGTCCATACAACAGTGTTATTCTTATATTAAGACCAATACCTCATTCTATAGAATTGAGTGAGAAATAAATCCATGTTCATTTTGCAGATAGGCTGAGACTTTAAAGATATTTTCTATACATAGCTGCCTACCTTCACCTCTCACCCCAGGAGCTGCCTGTTCTGTCTTCCCTTCAGGAGGTAGAGTTGGAGTACACCATTCAAAGTCTCTCGCACCAAAGATGAAGAAGACAATGAGGCAGAGAGGTCCTACCAATAACCATATGCTAGTGGGGGCCCCTTGGGCTTCAGCTCTTTCCCCCCAGCCCTTCTCCTTTGTTTATAGAAAACAAAAACGAAGTGGGAAACATTACAAAATATAAAGAAAATGACAATGGGAACGCATAAGCCACAGCCATGGCTAACTATTATTCATGTTTTGATGAATGTCATGTTTTATTATGAAAATTATACTTTATATAATATGGATTAAAATTATATAAACTTTTGTATTGGCTTATTTTTATACATAATATAGCACAAGTGTTTTTTCAACATGAATAAAACTGTAATTAACATATTTAATAATCAACTAATGCATTATTAGCAAATACATCACAATCATTATTCGTTTTGATTCTGAAATTGTCTCAGATTTGGGTTAAGGGAATTCCTCAAAAGCTTGCTTCTAAGTTCATTGAACATATCTCCATCACTATTGGGGTTTTTTTAGCTCTTATATTCTGGCTTTCCCACCAAAAATATTCCAGATTTGTTCTCAGAGTTATCCTGCCCTCAATCGGGGTTTGGTCATTTCTCCAATGAGCCTGGATTTCTTTTAGAGGGAAATATAATTAATTCTAATTTTTTGAAAGGCAAATGCTTGTTTTAAAATTTCTTTGGTTTTTAGTGAAGTTAAGTTTTTCTCTAAAATGTATTCCTTGCTTACATTTCTTCTTTCATTATTCTCTTTTTAATTTAATAATATTTTTAAATATTTTTATTGATTTAAGAGAGAGGAAGGGAGACAGAGAGAGAGATAGAAAGATCAATGTGAGAGAGAAACATCAATTGGTTGCCTCCCTATACGTACCCTAGCTAGGGATCAAACCCACAACCTGGGCATGTGCTCTGACCGAGAATGGAACCAGCGACTTCACTCAAACAACTGAGCCACACTGGCTGGGCTGAATAACATTGTTTAGAATACTTAGAATACACACTAAGAATGACATGTATTTTTACATTTAGATTAAACCACCTGTTTCTAAAGGAGAAATAAGTTTGTAATTTTACTATTCTAAATGGTGGTTAAATCCTCCAAAACACTTTCCATAAAACTGTGAGAGACATGTTGCATAACTCAGCCGTGTTTCAGGACATCATCTCGATGGTCAAATTCAGATCCTCAGCCCGTGGGAGCTGAGTCCCTGTGTGGAGCTTCTTGCATTACAGAGGCCAGGGCACACCTGCCTATGGGGTAGGACTGTAAAATATTAGCTGGTGGGAACAGCAATGGCATTGGGAGAAAAGAATAAGTTTGAAGAGAACAGAATCAGTGACAGTGGAAGGAGGCATCTCTGAAAGGGAAGGAACGGATTCTTTCAGAAGCAGTTATGGGAAGAAAATGTCCTTTCTCCGGAAGTACCAGTTAGAAAGGAAATCAGAAAACAACAGTGGCCATTCATAAAGAACTTGACTTTTATGGAGAACTACCAGGCTTTTGAAACATTCTATAAACACATATGGATGGGAGAGAGTATCCCTCTGCGGGCCTAGAAACATCTAAATTACATGGTCATCACTCTTAAAATGAAATTACAGCGAGAAAATTAAATAGCAGATTCTATTTTGGGGCATGTACACCAACCATAAACTCACATGTTGAAGTCTACATGTCATATCTGAGATGGATTTGCTGTCAGAAACACTTTCATCTCACCCACAAACATCAGTGACCTCTCAGGCTGCCCCTGCTTGCCCTGAGACACAGAAGTGACTAAGAAAACACTGCACCCACCTCAGCTGACCTGTCGTCTGGGCTCCCCACCACACTGGTCCTTCGATGGCTGCCGAAGCTGCAATCTCTTGACTTTCCATTTCCTGTGAAATCACAGAATATATTGTCCATTTAGGAGACTCTTAGCCAGAGACACAAGGGCCATCAAAACACTCTTCAAAGTTTTCAGAGAGGAAGGAAATTAATTGATTCTGTCCCTGTAGCTACCTTGCTTTTTTTTTCTTTCCATTGCTTTTCCTTTGATTAAATTCCATCGCTCACTGGAACCAGAGAGCCTATCTTCTCACCAAGTCATCATAGCCTCCTCTGTATTACATTTCCATGCTAGTGTCTCTTTAAAAAAAAAAGTAAAACTAATTTTGTTTATTTTCTTAGGATGTAATTGTTTTAGAAAAGTTGGAAATGCAAAAAATATATAAATAGGAAAATACAAGCTACCTATAATTCTAGCATCCAGAATTGACCACTGTTTACCTTTTAATGTGTATGCTTCCATTCACTTTCTCTCACTCATGTGTCTTCTCTATGTGTCTTTATGTGATTCTGTCTCTACCTCGCTGTCTGTAAGTATATACGTACAGAGAGAGACAGAGGCAGGGAGAAAGTCCCTCCAAAGTGTGTGTGCTTGTGTGTGCATGTACACACGAGCAAGGAACAAACTTTTGATTTGTTAATCTACTGAGATTCCAGATTTATTGGTAATAACAGACAGAGATCATCCAAACCAATGCTGTTTTTCTAGCTGAGGTGGTTGACAAACAGGTGTGCACAACTGGAATGGATGGATGGAGGGTGAAGGAGAAAATGGATGTGATTAAACAAGAGGGAACCAAGAACACACCTGTGATAAGTAGGCAACCAATTTCTGAGTGCTTCAGAGCCAAACATATTCTAAATAGTTCACCAAGGATTGGGAAACCACAGTCAGCCTGCCGATAGGTCATTTCGTTCCTATATTATTTCTCAAGTATTTGTTCATGGCCTGGAAGGTGTGAGCCCACAGGATAGGCACCAGCGATACATTAAGGATTAATGCGGTCCCTTCTTTGAGGATGCGGCTGACGATCAGGAGAAAGATAAGCTTCTTTATAACTGTCAGCAAAAAGAGCTCTTTCCAACAAAGAGCTCTGAGGAGAAGGAAGAATTAAGGGAAGAACCTAATAGTCTCAGATCCCATTAAAGTCTACCAGTTGTTTTTTCCTTTCCCTGATAAATTACTAAGGTTTACAATGAATTGTCCTTAAACTTTTGCCATCTTTTTACTTCTAGCTTCTAAGAAAACTCTAAAATCTCTAAAACTGATCAAAGTTATCAGCGGTAGAGAAATAAAGTTAAGAGCCCAGATAAACCAGTGATTGGAAAATCCACACTCTTGTTTGACTTATCTGACTAGCTGTATTTAATTAGAGAAGATTCCTTACAACTTTCAGAAAATTGGGGTTTTCATGTCAGAAGCCCCAGGCCTTACTGTGACTTGCCTCATCTGCTTCCCCGAGCTGCTGAGCCAGACTCGTGCCAGTGGTGCAAAGGCAATGCGGACATTTGCTGAGGGAGCCCTGTCCAGTGCCAGGCAGGACTGAAGTCTTCTCTGCCCTGGGCTGTGCCAACAAGAGTCTCATATCAGGCCCACCTGCCTAACCAAGAGGAACCATGGCTACCATCCATTTACCAACAGTGGGTAGTGATTTACCCATAAACCCTTCTCTCCACACTTCCGGCGAATGTCTCTTCTCTTTTCTATATGATGGGAATTACCTTCCCACATGAATTCGAGCATGTGGAACCAGAAACCTGCTTGTGCCCCTCCACGTGGGCCACATGAGACACATCCCTACCCTGTCAGCACTCTGAGAGCCTGATCTGGACGTCACCTTTTGCAGTTTGAACCTCTTTGCCTTGGAATGTCACACCACACAGGAGAGCAGCCTAACGGTGTCTGGGTTACCTTATCATTCAACTTGTACCTGTATCAGAAAGTAAATGAAGAAAAGGTTCAGAAAAGAATTGTGTATATCCTTCAAATCAAGAAAACACCGAGATGCCGTCTGCTCAAAGGGAAAGTGATGTTTTAGCAAGAGGCCTGAAGTTCTGGTCATGTTAGATGGTATTGCCCTGGGGGTGGAGGCCAGGAACATTTGAATCTTCCCCTAATCTCCCAGTTCCTTCTTATAAAGTCCCTAACGGCATTATAAAAACAAGGGACAACAGCAAAATGGGAAGTTAAAGTACACGTTATTATTTGCTTGGTCAACGCCAAATAAACAAATACAGAACTTTCTGGCGACGTGTCTGAGGGACATGGCAGATTATCAGATCCCAACCCAGACCCCAAACTCTAAAATGACTATCTCATCTTTGAATCTTAACATCCTTGGGCTGCACCCATGGTGCAGGAAAAGCAAGTTATAAATAAAGAATGTACTGCATGGAAAAAGAAATAAAGTTAACCCGGAGACATTTCAGAGACAAACACAATCTTTTATGAAACCAAACAAAAGAAAAGTTCTCTACCATAAAACAACAGCTCTATCATAAAAAGTAATCTCCCATCTCTAGGCCGATAAGTATCCTGGACCTAACTCCTAAGTGATAGAGAAGGATCGTGGGTTCTAACATCCTCCCTGAGGATAAGAAGAGAAGAAATCGGAGACCTCCGGCCTCTCACTGACCTGGCCATGTGACTGGAGGAGAAAGAAAATGTTGACACGCTCTGCACTGCCCGCTGGTGAATATCGCCCAAACGGCAGGAGGCCCCCTGGCATGGTTAGTTTGGTAACCGTTCTCTTAAAAAGAAGTGGAAAATGGGACAAGAGGGTGAAGGGACAGGTTTGCCAAGCCCCTACACCTCGGGGATTGGTTGGGAAAAGAAAAAGAGGGGGCTGTTATTTATTTTAAAGGTGGGTATTTTGTTGCCACAGTCACTACAATTACTATGCCCTGATGAGCCTCTTACACGTTGGAGGGGCATTTTGTAGGAACTCCTGCAAGTATCACAAATCCCATGAGTTAGGTATTTCATCCTTACTCTGTAGATCAAGAAAATGTGCCTCCGAAAGGTTATTTTGACCAAGTCTCGTAGCTGTTAAATGTGACCTTGAAGTATCTGAATACAGAGTCCATCCTATTTTTTTAATGGGGTTATAGAACTGCACTATTAATTAGAACAGGTTTGGAAATCACTTGATTTTTTTCTTATTAGTCATTGCAATGTGGCCCATAGGGAAATATTAAAGAAGATAGACACTGCGTTATATTTTCTGTACACAAGTGGCACAAAGCAGGCATTGTTCGCCATGCCCTTTGCAGAACTCTCTCAAAGGTGTCTTGATACTGTCAAGAACAGAAGCTTCTTCACACTCAGAACTTCTACCTCCTTCCAAAGGAAACATTCTTTCTTCCACGTACACATAATCACCTTTATTCATATGCTTACTCACCGCAGAGGGCTAGGTACCAGGGTTAAAACAACTATTTAGTGGAAACAATGGTAGGAATATGTGCATATATACTGTATTAAATATATAATATACTCACTGCCCATTAAGGGAGATATGACTCTCCTCATTAACAGGTTCTATAGAATTGAGGATTTCCTGTTGTTTACATAACTGCATATGAATGTACCATCTAAATATTCATATATACATACAGATAAGAGCATACACATATGTCCACATTCACATAGCACTCACTATATGAATATTACTGTTGTTATAATTGAGAAACAGGTAGATATCTAGTTTCTGGGATGTAAAGAGCTGGAAGGAGTGTCACTCCCACCCTTACAACCAAAAAGCCAGAAAACTACAAGTTCACAATCCTTTTTTACCATATCAGAGAGTGGGGTGAGTAGAAAGAAGGGGTTGGGGAGAAGGCTATGCCTGAAGGCCTCTCTCCCCTTCCCATCACCCGCACAGTGGTTTCCCAAGTTAATCTCTCAGGTCACATCTGAGACTTTTTCTTTCCTTCTCAAACTCTGTCTCTTATTTCAAAACCCAGAATTTTAAACCTGCTGAGAAAACACCCCAGATCATCTTAGTTTGATTTTTCCTTTGAAAAAGAAATTAACCTTCTCTCAATAAATAGGCCACCATTAGAAATGCTGGGTAATTTTATACCATTCAAATTTTTTCAAAGAAAGGCAACATTAAAGCACAAGTGAAATAATGAATAATGACAGGGCAAGATTTCCTGTGCGTGTTGTTCCTTTGTTTTTCTTTTACCGATTATTCCCATCTTTATAAGATGGACAATCAGTTTTCTTATTCACCTTCAGCCACCATCCCTGTAAATCACACCCCAGCCACACAGTTACTCAGCCATTCTCCAACCAGGCCATGCCTTTGGTTGTCTGTTTCCTCTCTCTGGAATAACAGCCTCACTGGAAAATTCTACCCAACCTCCAACATGTATATTGTCATTTTCCCTAACTTCCTCGGGGATTTGAACTCAACCTGCCTTTCCCTTCTCAATGATGTACGTACACCAGCTTCCACTATCATAGAAGCTACTGGCCAGTTTTCACTGTGGTTGTTGACAATGCAGTCCTTCCTGATGACATCATGCCTCTGACGGTGTGGATTGTCACACGTTCCCTTGTATCTGGGCCCTGACTGGCACCTCATAAATGTCTGAGAGCCACGTAGAGAGAAGGGACGTACACGTCACAGGAGAGCTCTTTCCAGCTCTTCACAGGCCTTGTGTGCAAGGACAGAACATATTCATTCTCTGCAACTTGCCAGTGACCCATTGTCTTTATAGGAGTGAGCTCTGGGACAAAGGCAGGCACTACAGTTCAGTAAAACGAGTACTGAAGGCTCACTAAGGTGAGCTAATTTTTTATGGGCTGACATTCAGAGAGTTGTTTGGGAAAGAAACTGTTGAGGATAATGGCTAACCTCAAAAGCGTCCAACCTTTTGTTCACATGAACCAAACTCTAAGCCACAATTCAAAAGCCAACACTCAAGCAAAGTCAAGGAAAGCACTCAGAAAAGCAAAGCACACACCTCATTTATTCACTTGGCCCCTCACCAAAATGCTCTATTGTTGCTTGTCATGTAACAGACATGCAGGAAGCCTCAG